GGGGTGTGTTTCCGTTGCGGCCAGCCCGGCCATATGGCAAATAATTGCCCTATGGGAGGGCGTGGCGCACAAGGTCCCGCACCCGTGGTGTGAGAGGACCCATGGGGCGGCGCCCCTTGCCACTATGCCGGGGGGCGTAGGTGGATGCACCGGTGGTGCGTAGGCTGGTTAGGAGCCTTGGGGAGTAGGATAGGCCATGGGGGCCAGGGCAAGATGGCAGCCGTAGGGGCTGGTTATGGTGTAGGCTTGGCTTGTATGCCTTTGTGTGGATTAATAAAAGATTGTTGTTATTGAAAAAAAAAAAATACGAACAATGGAGAGAGAGAAAGGGAGCCAACACGAAACGAGAAGACAAATGGCACAACAAATAAAACATCAGCCCCCTCTTGAGGAAGGCAGCCACGGAGGAGGAATTGGCCAGGAGTGCAAGACAAAGCAAGGACCGAGAGAAGAACAAAGGAGAGAGAGAGAGAGAGAGAGAGAGAGAGAGAGAGAGAGAGAGAGAGAGAGAGAGAGAGAGAGAGAGAGAGAGAGCGAGAGAGAGAGAGAGAGAGTGAGAGAGAGAGAGAGAGCGAGGGAGAGGGAGGGAGAGCGAGATAGAGAGAGAGAGAGAGCGAGGTAGAGAGAGAGAGAGAGAGAGAGAGAGAGAGAGAGAGAGAGAGAGAGAGAGAGAAAGAGAGAGAACGAGGGAGGGCGAGAGAGATAGAGAGAGAGCGAGAGAGTGAGAGAGAGAGAGAGAGAGAGAGAGAGAGAGAGAGAGAGAGAGAGAGAGAGAGAGAGAGAGAGAGAGAGAGAGGGAGACGGAGAGAGAGAGAGAGAGCGAGAGAGGGAGAGAGAGAGAGAGAGAGAGAGAGAGAGAGAGAGAGAGAGAGAGAGAGAGAGAGAGAGAGAGAGAGAGAGAGAGGAACTATCACGACGACATCGTGAGGAACAAGGTCGTGGGACCAAGTGACGCAAATGCGCCGATCTCGTTGTAAGGCAATGTAAAAAAAAAAAAAAAAAAAAAAAAAACCTTGCAAGGGTATTAAAGCTGATGACTGCGCAAGCAAAGTAAAAAAAAAAAAAAAAAAAAAAACCCGGGAGTGCGGGGAGGCACGACGGCGGTAGAAGACAAGCGACATAGTTTGCCCGACGAAGTGTCCCGTATTATCTCGCATCTAATCGACCTTGGCCCTGGTCCCCCCCCACACAACCTTGGTTGCCCATTAGTTGCAGAAGTGGAAGGCGAGTGGCGGAGTGCTCATTGGGACCCATACGAGCACGCAATAACGGACAACATGGTGTCCATCATGCGAATGCGATTGCGCAACAGCCTCCATTGGTGGCTATCATGGTGCGACAGCAGTCTTATCCTTTCCATCATTGCCAAAGGGTACTGGCTACCATGGAAGGGCACAGAGCCTCTCCCCTTCGAAGCGCCCAATCACGCAGGCGTTCAAGCACACATGGCATTCACCCAAGACACGGTTAGCGACCTCATCGCGTCAGGCGCCGCGATGCATGTCTCGTCGAAAGCCGCACTGACGTGCATCAGCCCGCTCAATGTTGTGGAGCAACGAGACAAATGCCGGCTCATCCTTGACCTGCGGAAGGTCAACGCTCACCTCCAAGTTCCCAAGTTCAAGTACGAAGGCTTGAGTCGGGTCGCGGAAATCATTCGCCCACACGACTGGATGTTCACAATCGATCTCAAGTCAGGCTACCACCACGTCGAAATCCACCCATCATGCTGGAAGTTTTTGGGCTTTCAATTGGGCGGAAAATTCTATTGCTTCACATCCTTACCTTTCGGCCTGGCAACAGCCCCGTTCATCTTCACCCAGGTTATTAAGCAACTAGCCAAGAGATGGCGCGCGCGCGGAGTGCGCGTAATACCATACGTGGACGATCTACTATTCCTCTGCAACTCCGAGGCGCAAGCCCGTTCGACGTGCGTCGAAGTTCTCCACGACTTGAAGGCGGCAGGATTCGTGATAAATTCTAAGAAATCACACCTGCATCCCGCACACCACTTGCGCTTTTTGGGGATGGAGCTTGACACGGAACGAGGGATGTTCCTGGTCGGAAAGGATCGGCGCGAACAACTACTGCAGGAGCTCCACCTACTTATACAAAAAGGGCAATCGGGTCGTCAAGTGCCGATTCGCAAGATAGCCCGGATCACTGGATTTCTCAGCTCCATGTCGCTCGCGCGGGGCACGACGGCGCGGGCCTTCAGCCATGAGCTGCTCCACTTGATCGACTCCGCATGGTCATGGAACTCAAAGGTTTTATTGTCACCAGAAGCGACCGAGGAGCTGCTGTTTTGGACAATGCACTTTGATCGTTTCAATGGCGCCCCATTCCACCAGAGTCAGCGTTTTGATGCAGTGATACACGTCGACGCGAGTGCGCACAGCTGGGGTGCCACCTTGGCCAAGTTCCCAAGTACATCATGCGAGGCAAGCGAGTGCATGCCACAAGGGCTTCTCCCCACATCTAGTACGCGGCGAGAGCTCGAGGGAGTGCTCTGGGCACTGCGGACGTTCGCAACCCAAATCGTGGGCGCTCACGTCCTCGTCCGGGTGGACAACCAGGCAGTCATGTTTATCTTGCGTAAGGGGGGATCCCGTCAGGCGGATCTTACGTCGACATGCCAAGCGATCATCCAGTTCTGCCTCGGCAACACAACACGCCTCGCGATCGAATGGATTCCGAGGGAGCTCAACGCCCATGCGGATGACCTATCCAAGATGCAAGATTTTGACGACTACTCCCTACATGCACCTTGGTTTCGCCTCTTGGAACGACGCTGGGGGCCTCACACAATTGATCTCTTTGCTAACGTTCAGAACAATAACGTTCAGCGCTTCTGCTCCAAGATACCGCACCCCGACGCATTCGCCGTCGACGCATTTTCCATCTCGTGGAAAGGCGAGCGATGCTTTGCCTTCCCGCCTCCACACTTAATTCCCGCTACACTCCGCCACGCGGAACTGACGCAGACAGAACTCACGCTCGTCGTTCCCCAGTGGACCGGAGCGTCATGGTGGCCGCTTCTTCAACCGTCCACTCAATCGTGGGCTCCAGCAGTAGTCGAGCACCTTTCCCTTGCCCAAGGCAGTCAATGCCTTCGGGCAGGTTCACACACAGCTGCATTCTCTGGTCTCGGATTGCCTCATAGCCCAATCATTGCTTTGCGTGTAAACTATGCAGTCTAATAACAATTTCTCAATGTGTCATTTCAGGACTTTTGGCCAAACTAAAGCAACAATTGCTGCACGTAATTAGCCACGCTCGCGCACCATCTACAATCGAGACGTACCAACCTTATTGGCAGAGATTTCGCACCTTCTGTACCCAAGTTAAGCTCGAGTCCCTCCCGGCAACCGACCTGACGCTAGCGCTGTATCTCATCCATGCGCTCAACAACAAAGCAACTCTCTCCGCGATCAACCTCACGTGTTCGGCAGTAGCCTTTGCCCACCGCATGACAGGCGAAACCTCCCCTACCGCCGGCCCACTCACCCTGCAAGTGCGGGAGTTCGCCAAGAGACATGGTCCCCGCCCTACAAGAACCAAAGAGCCCATATCTCTCCATCAAGTGCACGACATGGCTCGTCCCTTCCTCGAATCATCAATTCCTGCGGAATACCAGAAAGGATTGATTCCTCTTCTCATGTTTTCGGCATTCTTGCGCTACTCCGACCTCGTCTCGCTCCAATGGAATGACGTACAGTTCGAGGAGAAGGCAATGTGGCTGCTCATTCCGCACTCCAAGACGGACCAGGAGGGGAGGGGAGTCTGGATCCCCGTGGCGGCAATTCCAGGCCCATACTGCCCGGTGAGGTGCACGCGCGCATTCATACACATCGCAGGCCTCACAAAGGTGCCCCATGGACCGCTGATAAGGGTTTTCCCAAAGAACTCACAAGCCACACCGAACGACAAATCGCCATCCTACGTTACGATCAGAAACTGGTGCCTCGCAGCCGGCAGGCAAGCTGGACTGGATGTCGCGCACATCGGAACCCACTCATTCCGCAAAGGCGCAGCCACTGCAGCGGCGAGCCTCGGAGTTCCTGACCGGCTCTTCAAACGCATGGGCCGATGGCGCAGCGACAGCGCGAAGGAGATGTACGTTACAATCGCGCAGGATCAGCTCATCTCCCTCTCTACGCAATTGCAGGATCCTTCGACGGCTCCCTCGCCCGCTACGCATCAGCTATCCATCGAACGCCACCGGCAGCCCCGACTACACTTGCCTCAGAAGACCCATATGAAATGATAACGTTGCCTTTGCCAGTCAGCCTAAGTACACTTTCACAATATGATAATTTTTGAAAGTGTAATGAAATGTAACACTTTCTAAAATTTTGTATTGTGAAAAGGGGTACGTGGCCGACACAGCAAAGGTAGCGCCGAAGCGATACTCACCCTCTTTTGCCTACAAAAGAGGGACGTGGGGACATTCGTCCCCACCCACGTTTTCATTTTCAAAATTGTACTAATTTCCCACCCGCCCACCCATTTGTGTATGCTGTAATGTAGACATATATAAGACGAGAACGATGTACTACAACCCATATGAAATGATAACGCTGCCTGCCCCATATGAAATGATAACGCTGCCTTTGCCAGTCAGCCTAAGTACACTTTCACAATTTCTTCCTCTTCGCTGGTTGTGGATAGATGGCAGCAAAAACTGATAATCTGAAAATATTTCGAAGTCCAGCTTCCTTGTACTTGCAGATCTTGACTTTCCGTGAAATCGTCATGATCCTCAGGTCTCATTTTGGGTGGAGATTTAAAATGGACTCGACCATTGAAGCTTCCTTGGAGTAACTCTATGTCTTAAGCTTGAAAGCAGCGTTATAACCTGAAAATACAGATCTTCTCAAGTGACGTTACGACTAACCGATGTTCTCTGTTTGAACACAATGTTGGTATCGTAAACAAGCCCTTGAAGAGTAGATATAGAAAATATATTCAGATCCAAACCACAGTCCTCCTGAACCTTCTTACCCTTGCTCCTCCTGACCCGCCTCTATTAGCACAGGCACTCCTCCCCCAGCAACCGAGTCATGCACAGCACACACCACCCGCTGTGTCCGCTCCATCATATCCACCCATCGCCCAACCAATGCCGCCTTCCCTCCCCCCTCTCTCACTCCCCTCACGATCCGTGCCAGCTCAGCAATCATATTTGCCTCCTGCGTCCACGTCAGTACAGTTTCTCTCCTCTCAACCGTGGATTTCACCCCCAGACTCGGATTTGGCCACTTGGACCCCTTTTCAATCACAAATTCGGCCTTATCTTCCTGGAAGGGGATGCAGAAGTCCTCGAGTGTGATTGTAGCGAGGGAGCCTGCAAACTCAAGGCGCTGAGAATCAATGGAATCAAATCCACACTGGAAGAGAGCTGTTAACCCGTTTCGCCAGCACAGGTAACCACCGCAGCGAATCAAAACGCCTTCTTCGTTAACCTTGGGATCTGGAAAACCCAGCACTTTATACGGAAGCTCGAAATCTGCAGCCCAGAGTGACGCTCGAATGCAATACCACCCAATGTCTCCCAAACACCCCAATCCGTCTAGGTCCTTCTTCAGCCGAATGTCTTTCTGCATAAATTCCTCTGATCCTGGGAAGAAAAAATTCGCCGTCACACGCATGAGCTGCCCAAAAGATTCTCTATCTTGCATGGCCGCTTTCATTTCGGCCGCCCGTGGGTTGTGCATCCACATCGTGCCGTCCATGATCTGGACTCCCGCCGAATCGACGGCTGCGATCATGGTTTCCAGATCGGCCGCATTCAGCGAAACGGGCTTCTCTAGCAGAATATGCTTTCCGTGATTCGCGGCTTTCACCACCCACTCCACGTGGAGCGCAGTCGGCAGCGGGATGTAAACGGCGTCCACTAACGGGTCCGCAATGACGTCAGCGTAGCTGCCGTAAATCGCGGCGTCGCCAGCCATGCCGACCTCCTTAGCGAACTGCGCGGCTCGCTCGTAAGAACGGCTACCTATGGCGTACGGAATGACGCCTGGTACGCACTGCATTGAGCGAATTACCTTCTGCGCAATCCTCGCCGTACCTAGGATTCCGAACCTCACAGGCATGGGATTCAGCGGCGCCTCAGGTTCGACCATGACTCCTCTTTGCGAATACACAGAAGGTTTCTGGATACTCGGGAGGGCTGAAAGACCGGTAGCGCAGACGAATGGTCGAGCAAGGAGTATCGATGAGGGCAGAAAAGGAAGTGGAAGGTGGGTCGGTGGCATCATGCCTTTATCACGTGGTATTCAATGCGCTCAAACGGCACCTGATGTGCGCGCAATGAAGGGGAATGCGGAGAATAGTGGCTCGGGTGTCGCGAACCTTGCTAAGGGCGTGCAAAGTCGCGCACCATTTGCGAAATTTGCAAATGGCTGGAAATCCGACGACTTTTTGGTCGTTATTTCTTTCGCGAACAACGACCACTCTCTGTCGACATTTGGTCGCCCACCACAAACGGCCTGTACTTGCCATTTTGTAGACTCGCCCACAAGTTTGCAGGCCGATTTGCAGGCCGCATGAACAAACATGTCAAATTTGCAGCCTCGCACAAACCAGCCACTTTGCGACACAGTCGCACATTTGACTCCAGTAGTGGCACAACCACTCGTTCTAACGCAGGGGCGCTTGTGCGACGATGGACACATCCGTCGCACTGACTAGTCCGCTTCGTGGCCGTTTGCGAGTCGACTTGGCGTCGTTGTCGTGTCGGTTCGCTGAAACGGCCATCAAATATTTCGTGATTTCGCGAAATTGCTGAGCTTCGCCCAAAACACGGCGAGTGTCGTAAAAGGGTTACTCTCGCCAACAACGGCCCGACGGATTTTCCCAAAAATTGTTGTGGCACGACTTTACACGCCCTAAGACACCGAACCGGTAAGACTGGTGTGTCAGGCAACAGTCAAGAAACCACACCCGCGACGTTCTCACAGCGCAAGCTGCTCGCTTCAAGCTTGTCTGAATGTCAAGATCTATATAGCGTGGCAGGATGGAGTTATTAGCTTAGGGTGTTCTACAGAAACCAGTAAACATAACGTGATCATTAAGGAATCATATTATCATAGATGAATTATGGGTTTTTCGACCACGGAAATATTTTTTTCTTCTAAAATTCTGGGTGTATTTCTTAACAAAAATGCTATCACAAGAGTATTTCCTAAAACGTAGATACTCACATATTTCAACTTTCTTGCTATCCCCTTCATCCCGCGTCTCTCGTAACGGGTACATTCCGACCCTTCTCTCAAAGCAACCGTCCACAAACACGTGCGTGGCCTGTCCGATCAGCTAGTCTCAAACCAGGTTTAACATTAGGGCGTGCAACATTGTATCGACCAAGCCTAAAATCCGACACAATGGTTGGGTCATGCGAAAGCGAGATCTGTAACGTTTGAACGAACCCCGTGTCAGAAAGAGGAGCTTAAGTTAAAAGAACCATGGCGGCTAGGGTTTGGCTAGGAGGTGAGTGTCGAACAAGAGAACAAGAACACGAGGTGCACCACCAACAATTAGTAATAACTACATTATGTTAGAAACTAACAAGCATGAATGTTTACGTTCACATCAAACTGAGTACAAGTACTAACTCTAATTGGGTTGTGCCCCATACAGGCTACCCCACTACAGCTTACACAACACAAGCAGCATTACAGTTTGACACACCCCCATAGGCAAAGTGGGGGAGAACAAGGGGTCACAAGACCAGTTAAGAAAAACAAACCAAGTGCAGGGTGGATCACGAAGTCGCCACACACTCTGAGCATAAGCGAATGGCCACAAGGCCGGGCTAGATGCAGAGATATATAAAAGACAGCAAACAGTACAGTGATCACTACCTAGCAAGAGTAAGCATGCAGGTAAATATATTGGTCAAAGTACAAGCAAAGTCAAGCAGTGATCAAGTGAGGCAAAACAGGCACAAAGCCCAACCCAGTACAGAAGTGCTGATGATCACAAGGCTGAAGTGCCTTGGTGAATATATCAGGAGTGTTGGCCCGAGTGGCCACGTAAGCAAGACGAAGCTGACCAGACTGCTGCAACTCTCGAGCAAGGAAGTAACGCAGAGCGATGTGCTTCGTTCTGTGCTCCAGTCTGTGCTCCTGACAGAAGGCAATTGCAGCCTTGTTGTATACGTACAGACCTGGAGGAGAACGAGGCCGGCTCTCCCAAGTCGCTCAACAGATTGGTGAGCCAGCGTAACTCCTATGCAGCCTGGCTGTCGCGTAGGTCTCAGCCTCACAACTTGAGCTGAGAACAAAAGACGAGCGGGTAGACCGCCAAGAAACAAAGCCGGAGCCAAGGCTGAATGAGTAACCCTGAGACAGCCGCTGCGTAGTCAGGTTGTCAACCCACGAAACGTCTAAGTGTCTAGTGAGGACAACTGGACCCCGCCCTCCAAGCACGAGCCCCATGCCCGATCTACTGCACGAGTAACACAATACCCTCTTTGTAGCATCCCAGTGCACCTTTCGGTGCCTACCAGGAGCCATGTAGCGTGTCAGAAGGCCAAGAGGGTACGCAAAGTCAGGACGAGTGTAGGTCTTCAAGTACATGAGGCAGCCCACTAGCTCTGGGTACGGGCCATTCGGCTCTATGGACTTGTCCGAAGGTGGAGCTAAGAGCGAGTGACCGGTAGCCAGAGGAGTGGACTGTGGCAAGGACCAAGTGAAGCTGAAGCACTGAAGGACCTGCTGCACCATGTGTGACTGAGTCAGGGTGATGGTGCGTCGATCTCTGTCACGGGTGATCTGCAAGCCAAGATAGCTGCGCAGCTCACCCAGGTCTGTGCACGTGTGTCTCTTCTGTAGCTCCGACTTCACAAGGGCGTGTGCCTCAGTGTCAGAAGTGGCAAAAACCAAGTCGTCGACGTGCACGAGGATGTAGAACGGCAGCAGCGAAGTGTCGGTGCGGAGAAACAGCGACGGGTCTGCAGTCGAAGGAGCAAACCCAAGTGCCGCATGTCTCGTCCTCACTGTGTCGTGCCACTTACGAGGCGCCTGGCGGAGACCGTAGACTTGCCGTTGGAGGCTCCACTAGGTACCTGCAGGAAACGACCCAGTGAAGCCAGGTGGACGGCGCAGCCTGATCTCCTTGTGCAGGCTGCCCTGTAGGAAGGCTATGGTGAGGTCAAGGGAGTGAAGCTCGTAGTCACACTGAGCGGCAACGTGCAGTAGCACCCAAAGAGTGGTCATCTTCGAGGTAGGAGAGAAGGTCTGGAAGAAGTCAACTCCCTGTCGCTGACTGAAGCCTCGTGCAACGTAACGACCCTTGAAGACAGGCGGAGAACCCGGCGGCCGCTTCACCCTGAAAATCCACATGCCATCGACAATGTTCGCCCCAGGAGGGGGAACTGCGTCGACGTAGGTGCTTGTGGACTTCCAGGATGCCATCTCTGCGTCCATGGTTGTCTGCCACTGAGAGGAGTACTCACCCGCGATTGCCTCAGCGTAAAGAGCTACGGTTGGGGATGTCCGGTGCATCCGAGGTCTCCCCCAGGGGCAAGCAGCATGGCTACGAGATGAGGTGCAGCAGCTGCAAGACGCTCAAAGTCCACCTGCCTGTCCTCAAGGACGTCCTTGCCAAAAGCACACTCACCTCCGACGGACGGAGGACAGACAGACTCAGACTCAGCAACAAGACTAGCGGCGTAGTCGAGACGACAAGCTGTAGCAAAGTCAACAAGCTCAGCGACTGAGGCAGACGCAACAACAGACTCAAACGAAGGGTCAATGACAACCGTGTCTAGAAGACGCGTAACAGTAGGACTGGCAGCACAAACCCGGTTAGACTCAGGGTCCGAAGCGTGCGGAGGAGAGGACGCAGGAGGAGACGGCAGAAGAACATGCCGTGGAACAGAGGAAGGACAAAGTGCCATAGTGTGTGTGCCGAGGACAGGAGGAGGACGCTCACGAGGAACACGACGACCAGTGCGACCGTCGCGAATAGGCGAGGCAGGACGAGACACAGACTCATGACGCTCAATAGGACCTCGTCAACTCAGTGTAAGAAGAGGGAGCAGACAGTGGGGAGCTTGGTTGTAACGGGAGACCAGTAGAAGGCGGGAGACTAAGAACTTGGCGAAGCGCCAAGTCAGGCGGCGGCAGAGACGACGGTGACGGCGCAGCAAAGAAGAGACGGGGCGGTGCAGCACCACTAGTACCAGCTCCTCTAGCACTAGCACCCCCAGTACTAGTACCAGCAGCTCCAGGGTGTCAAGATCTAGGATCGAGCTCAAGACAGAGAATTGTAGTTGAATGATTCACCTGGGTACAACACGAGGCTATATACTGTCAAACATTATATATTTTGTGCTTGTTTAGGCTACAGTGGGTTAGCCTATAGGGGGTACACAATTCTAGGGTTAGGTACTTGTACTGATTTCTCTGTTAGTTCAATCATCCCTGTTCATTCATTTCAACATGGTATAGAGCAGGTCCTTCCTAGGACCGATTTTTTTTTAGGGCCCACCACTACCTACCTACCTACCTACCTGCGCCCTAGGGCGCCTCGGTTTTCACGGCCCTCTAAGGCCCCACGACCCGCGACCCGCCCCTTAGCGACTCGCGCGCTGCCCCTTAAGGCCCCGTCGGTCCACGCGCTCGCCCCTTACGGCCCCGCGATCGCCCCTAACGGCCCCGTCGGCCCCGCGCTCACCTCCCTAGAGGCCCCAGTCGGCCCCGCGCTCGCCCTTAGCGGCCCCTTACGGCCCCGCGCTCGCCCCTAGAGGCCCCGAACGGCCCCGCGCTCGCCATTAGCGGCCCCTTACGGCCCCGCGCTCGCCCCTAGAGGCCCCGATCGGCCCCGCGCTCGCCCTTAGCGGCCCCTTACGGCCCCGCGCTCGCCCCTAGAGGCCCCGATCGGCCCCGCGCTCGCCCTTAGCGGCCCCTTACGGCCCCGCGCTCGCCCCTAGAGGCCCCGAACGCCCCCCCCCCCCCCCCCAGAACGAGCTGCCCGACCCGAGCAGCCCGAACCGAGCCACCCAGCCCAAACCGAGCCGCCCGAACCGAGCCGCCCAGCCCAAACCGAGCCGCCCGAACCGAGCCGCCCGAACCGAGCAGCCCAGACC